GCTGCTGCTGCTGCTGTTGCTGCTGTTGCTGCTGCTGCTGCTGCTGCTGCTGTTGCTGCTGTTGCTGCTGCTGCTGCCGTTGCGCTCGAAATCAAACGGCGAGTTCTCCCTGCAGTATCCGTTCGGCTGCTGCTGCTGCTGCTGCTGCTGCTGCTGCTGCTGTTGCTGCTGTTGCTGCTGCTGCTGCTGCTGCTGTTGCGAATGCGGGACCCGCTGCGACAGCAGCAGCTGCTGCTGCAGTGCATGCTCCAGCTGCTGCTGCTGCTGCTGCTGAAATGTTAGCATATCGCGCAATGCCTGCAGACAAACAAAACACAAAAACTGTTGCTGCTGCTGCTGCTGCTGCTGTTGCTGCTGCTGCTGCTGTTGCTGCTGCTGCTGCAGCAGCTAAGCAGAAACTGAAATGACAGAGATGCTCTCCTTCTAGCAGGAGCAGCAGCAGCAGCAACAGCAGCAGCACCGACAGCAGCAGCAAAAGCAGCAGCAGCAGCAGCAATAGCAGCAGCAACAGCAGCAGCAGCAGCAGCAGCAGCAGCAGCAGCACGAGGTTTACCTGTGTTTGCTGCGCATACACATCCCTCATCTTCTGCAGCACAATCGCTTGCTGCTGCTGCCGCGCAGCAGCAGCGCGAATCTCTGCCCGCAACGAATCCTGCAGCAGCAGCAGCAGCAGCAGCAGCAGCAGCAATAGCAAGGCTTGGGCATAGACAACGGCAGCAGCAGCAAGAGACGCTACAGAAGCAGCGAGAGCAGCAGCAGCAGCAGCAGCAGCAGCAGCAACACAAGCCCACCGCTTCTGCTTCTGCAGCAGCAGCACGTTGCTTCGTCTCCGCCAGCAGCTGCTGCAGCGTCTCTATCTCCCCTGCACACAGCAGCAGCAGCAGCAGCAGCAGCAGCAGCAGTGCATGCAAAGCAATTCAGATGGCTGCTGCTGCCAACCCCCCAACACACAAAACTTCAGCAGCAGCAGCAGCAGCAGCAGCAGCGGCAGCAGCAGCATAGGAGCGGCATCATAGCAGCAGCAGGAGCAGCGAAGAAGCAGCATAGCAGCAGCAACAGCAGCAGCAACAGCAGCAGCAACAGCAGCAGCAGCAGCAGCAAGACAGCAGCAGCAGCAGCAGCAAGACAGCAGCAGCAGCAGCTCTCACCGCGCGCTGCGTTCTGTGCAGCAGTTAGCTGCTCCCTCGTCTCCCCCAGCTGATCCGCCTGCAGCAGCAGCAGCAGCAGCAGCAGCAGCAATAAGCAGCAGCAGCAGCAGCAAGCAGCAGTGAACATCAGGCTCTCGTGGTACTGCATCAGCATCAGTTGGTGCTGTTGCTGCAGCAGCAGCAGCAGCAACAGCAGCAGCAGCAGCAACAAAAAGCATATGTAGAGAATGCAGCAGCAACAG